AAAGCATCGAAAATTACAAGCAGTTTTATCACCACACTAACAGACTATAGACTTTATATTTGGACATCACAAATATTTAATTTGAACCAATGCTGCATTCAGAATACCACGTGACACACAAAAATCGATATTTAGGTGTGTTCTTATAAAATTTACTTTTAAATTAAGAAATTAACTAATGTATAATATTAAAAATTGAATTATAGTTTACAATTTCATACCAAACTTATTGACATGAATTTATAAAATAGTAGTTCAATAAAATTTTGAATGTAAGTCAACAAACGTGATGACATGGCCTTTCACCCTTGACGATAGGGTCAATAAACATCTTCACTGGTACTAAACTTGAACAATGGGGGGGGGGGATATGCAAATTGAGAACTAGGTACACGGCGTGTACCCCCATTTCCAACACTGATGAAAATGTAGATTACTTCGCAGGTTTTAGTAATATATATTTTTTGTTTGAATTGTTCATGACTGATTGGAAGAACACTTTTACTAAAACTGTGGGATTTTGTAACCTGTTTAAAATTAAATATGTTAAGACTCTTAATTGTTAACAATATTTCCAATGTGCTAGCGAATACATGGGAAGGGTAAGTCACTTTTTTTTACCTCGCTTTGGGTCAAGAAGAAATTGTGCAAGTCATGTGTTTCTGGGATATGATAAAGGACTTAAATATTTTTCTCTGTTGTTTTTCTATTTTGTTATGATAACTGTATCAGTGCAGATGCTATTAGAAAAGCATATGATAAGTTTGGACTGCTATCTAATAAATTGATATGGATTAATAGACGTTTGCTGACGTGGGTCGATATTTGAGGTCAGAAGTAATTGGAAGTTCTCAGCACAAAGACTTTTCGTAAGATAAACTATATTGAATGAATATGTATGCTAAGATAAGGCTAACTATTGTATAATAGAAAAAGGCTAATCAGTGTTTAATTGAAAAAGGCTAAGCAATGTATACGGGGTATTTTCAGGTTAAACTGATTTCTTCCAAGAGTATATGATAGGTCCGCTTTATAACGGGAGGATCAGCAGGATGCATCACGAAATAATGATGAATTTAGCTGGAATTAACTGAGTTTGAGCATAGAAAACAGTTTTTATTAATTCAAAAACAAAACATGGTATGTGTAGTTGCTTCTGGACGATCGCTTTTCACTGGATTCATGTATTGATTAGACTATCCTTCTTCCTTCGAGATGTATTCTCTCTAAATAATTCACTCTGCATGAGGAACAAGAATATTTAAACCTAATGTTTCTTACTTAAAGAGAAAAGTTGGATTTACCCATAGTAATTAACATTTTTCATGTGACTTGTCATTATCATTGAAACATAAAGGAAGCCATAACGGTAACCTCGCGATACCACCTAGCCTACCATTTAAGAACACTGCTTTATATATTCTTGCACAACATGCAGCATTACAGCCATTCTACTCATGTGTAGAACAGGTGTTATCTTCATAGAATGACAAAGGAAGAAAGGCAGCTAAGAGGAAATCAATTTAATGGTTTCCTGGGTCACGTGCTGTTCGAAAACTGCATAGACTTGGAATAAACAAAAAAATAAATAAATTTTACAATCAAAATAAGAAAGGAGAAAACGCACGATATGCTTAATACAAAACGTATCCTGCTGAAAGCCAAGCGTATAACAGTGTAATATCGGAGTGTGTATAATAGCGTAATATAGGAGTTATATACACTCCGATATTACGCTATTATAAACATAATGTAATATCGGAGTGTTTATAATAGTGTAATATCGGAGTGTGTATAATAGCGTAATATAGGAGTGTTTATAATAGCGTAATATCGGAGTGTATATAATAATGTAATATCGGAGTGTTTATAATAGCGTAATATCGGAGTGTATATAATAATGTAATATCGGAGTGTATATAATAGTGTAATATCGGTTTGTATATAATAGTGTAATATCGGAGTGTGTATAATAGCGTAATATAGGAGTGTTTATAATAGCGTAATATTGGAGTGTATATAATAGTGTAATATCGGAGTGTGTATAATAGCGTAATATAGGAGTGTTTATAATAGCGTAATATCGGAGTGTATATAATAATGTAATATCGGAGTGTTTATAATAGTGTAATATCGGAGTGTGTATAATAGCGTAATATAGGAGTGTTTATAATAGCATAATATCGGAGTATATATAATAATGTAATAGCGGAGTGTTTATAATAGCGTAATATCGGAGTGTGTATAATAGCGTAATATTGGAGTATGTATAATAGCGTAATATAGGAGTGTATATAATAGGGCAATATCAGTGTGTGTATAATAGTGTAATATTTGAGTGTAACGGTCATACTGGTCCAAAGATCTTCGTAGCATTAACGCAATAAACATATAACTACTTTTTTCATCACTTTAATCGCTGATTTGTTAGGATGAAAACCGCGGATTTTTAATATACATTTACATTCAACATTAAAATAAACAATTTAATTTCATGCAGTGAAAAAGGAATGAACTTTATTGAGAGACTTTATATTTTCGGATTGCATTTTTCTAGTTATCCTCCATAGCATAATGTGATTTAAACGTATTACAAGTTTTTTTATAATATTATCTAAAGATTTTGACTAGGTATGTAAGCACAGGTGACCTTATTCCTGTGTAAAAATTGTTTTGTATATATATTATAAATGTTTGTTTGTTTTGAATTTCGCGCAAAGCTACACGAGGGCTATCTGCGCTAGCCGTCCCTAATTTAGCAGTGTAAGACTAGAGGGAAGGCAGCTAGTCATCACCACCCACCGCCAACTCTTGGGCTACTCTTTTACCAACGAATAGTGGGATTGACCGTCACATTATAACGCCCCCACGGCTGAAAGGGCGAGCATGTTTGGTGGGATGGGAATGCGAACCCGCGACCCGCAGATTGCGAGTCGAGCGTCCTAACCACCTGGCCATGCCGGGACCATATTATAAGTGAGTTTCGTATATACAAGTAATTCATAATGATGTGTATACATTTTGTGTGTTTTTCAGTAATGTCAATAAAAGTAAAAAAGACCCCATAATTCAAATTTCTTCAACAGAATTTAATTAAATCATGGATTTTTGCCAATAACAAAAGTATGTATATATATATATTTTACAGAGGACATTATGGTAAGTTTACAGAATTAAAACGCCAAAATCTGCCCACAGCGTACAAGGCGCAGATGGCCGATATGAGGCTTAACGCTAATAAAACATTAACAACAGAGGTCATGAACATTATTTAAACGTTATAGTTTTTATAAGGTTTTTGTGTCGTATATAACAAGCTCTGCTAGAAAACACAGTTCTTTTCCGGCAAATATTTGAATTAAAACAGTAAGTGTACAAGGAGCAACTTGGAAATGATTAGTTTCCATTTGTACATATTCTATATTTACATTATTATAGCGTTAACTATAACGGTTACTCTGTACTACAAACATGTTTAATAATTTATTAAAAAATTAAGACTTTGTGTATGTGTTAACCTTGACAGTAGAAGCCGGCACTTTTAGTTTAGTCTCTTCGGCAGGTACCGTTAAATTATGGATCGTCTTCCAATGAGAATTTACAACAAGGCGCAAACTTTAAAAACCTTGATTTTTCATCGTTTAAATAAAATGCCATTCGTTCCTGTAATAACTGAGCAAATCATTTATTATATCTTAATGTTAATGTCCGAGATGGCACGTTTCTAGTTAACGAAACTACGTTTGATGTTTTAAATGCTGGAGAGTGTAAATCACAAAATTCCTATGCTGATGAGAAATTTCATATGTGTTTTTTGTTATTCATAGCACGACTAAAACAAAACATCATATGTTTGGCTGCTGATATATATATATATGCATAAAAAGTATTCCTTGCAGGTATTGCCTTCAAGGAGTTTTATCTCTCTTTCTTTAACACTCCCCCACCCACCCATACACAAGAAAAAGGAGTTTCTCTAGTGGTTGTCTTGTTCACTAATGTTATGAATGAAAATATGAAATTTGTACAAGCGCTTATTTTCAGCAAAAGGGAGCAGTATGTTAAGGTAGCGTATACCCTTTAAATGTAAAAAAATATCACAATTTATTTTATTTTTTGCATAACCCCTTTACTTTCAATGTCCAGTGGAAAAAAAAGTCTTAGCTAAACTAAAAACCCCTAAAAAGTATGAAAGATAAAAAAATCCATTTAAATACCTTTACACACGTGTTTCTCAAAATCTGAAAATTGACATTCTTATAGTGGTTTTTAACTCATAACTTCAGATCTGTTGACGTTATAGACTTCCCAATTGGCATAAATATGAATTATTAGTGTATCCATAGTGTTTCTAACGTAAAGTTGATAAGAGGTTTGGTTATAATTAAATGACCATTAACGAGTCACAGTAGCATATGTTCTACTTAGGGCATGCTCATTAGCGCCGTAATTTGACCTTGATCTAATTTTCAGTTTTCCTTAATTTGGACTAATTCATCACATCAAATTGTAAACTCATTTTCAGAAGCATTCAGCCATGTTTGTAGAAGTTATCAGGAACATAAGGCATTTATTTCTCTTGTAATTTCATAATATGCCAATTAGACACATTGATAATGTTAAACAACATGTGCTAGAATATGTCTTTGTACCTATTTCAATATATCTTAATAGAAAAAGCATAGTATGAAAATGTTTTTTTCTGATAAAAAGGCCAAACCTAGTAAAGGGTATATGCTACCTTAAGCACCTGCTCACAGAGGTGCAGGTGCACGTGCCCACAATATTCCGACTAACAAAATCGCGCAATGTATATACTTAATTTAAACATAATTTCTATTATTTTCTTCATTTCACCCAATATTTCTTTAAAAACAACATCTTTAGATATATATATATATTATAATCTTGAAAAATAATTTCACTGCTGTGAAAAAGGCACATGTGCCTATGTGTGTGTGTGTGTGTGTATATATATATATATATATAAGTATACCTTTTTAATTCAACAATAAAAGTAACTTGTCAAAAATAGTGCACATTTTTTGTTCAGTTCGAGATTTTTGGCAAACAACGACTAATAAACATAAGGTAAGTAGTTTTTTCTGTCCAAAATAAACGTCTTCATAAGACTTATAAATCGTTGTTTGTCTAACTATTATTATATTAACATAATGTGCTTCCAGTACTCTCACTGTTAATTCTTAATGATGAGTAGGCCTTGTTTTGCTTTGCTAGAACTTCTGTACAAAAAAGCTAATCAGTCTAAGCTTTAGTGGAAATATGATTAGCAGTTGATTCTGGCTTTTTGATGCTTTTCCCTGAGGTACATAGAAACGAAGGTTTAACTTTCATTTTGATAAACGATGAAGAACAGATGAAGTCATACTTTTACATTTGTTTCATAGTGAGGCATGTTTTATCTAAAAATCATAAGATTGCAGAGCAATTTAAAAAAGTAATTTTAACTATATTTTTCCTTGCTTTCACAAATTCTATGTAAAAATAAGTCACTAAAACTGTTTTTACGATGATAACAATAAAAATTGTCTCAAAATACAAAGGCGCTGACATGCCACTACCTAAAAACAAGACAATGGTTAACGCATACCATGTATGAGATTATCAGAAGGTATCCATCTTGACCAAAGTTTACACACACCTTCTTCCACCACACACATTAACACAAATGAATCGTCGCACTTGATTTATGCAACATTTGGAAAATTTTCGATGAAAATGCGTATAATTCAGGACGTTTGAGTTTCGTATCCTATTAATTTACTGGTTTGATCAAATGTCATTTGTTATTTTAATATAAAAGCAGAAAGGTATTTCAGAGTCCAATAATTTTACAGCGTAAGTTCTCATTATGAAACTTAAATTTTGAGCTAATATAATTTCTTCTTTGTGTGCAACATCTCTGTGAGAAGAGTCTGTGCTATTGCACTGCCACCAATCAACTTGTAGTAAAGAAAGTCTTCAGCCTGTGAGCTGAGATGGCGTACCTCAGACAGGTTTTGAAGAAGCTGAACGTACTTGTCCTGTAAGTAAAACAAACATAAAATATATTATTATTTACGCCAACCCTCTTGCTGTGAACTGAACTTTGAAGAACATCTCAAAAGATATTAGAATTGTTGCCCAAAATATAATCGTTACTTGTTAATTTCTATATATTTAAAATAAATATTTTATACATAATTTACAGTAATAAGAAAATAGAACTATACTGAACAATTATTTTCAAACTTTCTTACAAACAAAAGGGAAATGTTTCTTCTATTTATACCCAAGTAATAGATTTTAACACAGACATACCTAAGTAGCTCAAAATAATTTTAATAAATACTTTAAATATATACATATTCAAAATTACCTTAAAGTACATAGTCAAAAATAAATGTACATATATATTATGCTTATCACTAATTATTCACTAAAAGTGTTTATAGAAAAAATAACTATAATTTACTTACAAAACCTCGTAGTGACCGGTGCAGGAGGAGCTATTCCGTTAAAAATATACAAGTAATCTTAATAACTTAGAACAAAAAATGTAACATTCAAAGCATAATTAGCTTTGAGTACAAGTTTTCTTTTTTATACACATTGAGCGTAAAATAGTTAATACACCATACCAATTTAAATTAAGTTGTTCTTATGTATTTACGTAAAGCCGTTTTATATGAGAATTGTGACTGACGACCAGCTGGTTTCTTCACACTGCCTCCAAGTGGTCAGTTGAGGAGGGTGAGAATGCTTCTGTTTTGTCTTTTACCCTCCCTGCAGGGAACTAGCACATTCATTATATAACGAAACAAACTTCAGTGGGTTTTTATAAACCAACTTACACTGGAAAGAAATTTATTTTATTATGTATAACTTAATAAACAAATATGCACTTTTAATACTTTTTTGAAGGACCACATTTTAAAAAGTTTATTTACTAAATTCTATAGTTATACACAACTGTATCAAGGCTAAACCAAACAGATCTAATACGCTACATTTAATATATTGTTATAATATCAATAAATATTTTATTTGAAATTAGCTATAGTTATCTGTATTTCATTCGTTAGATCAGTATCATTTTACAGCAACAATTGGAAAGCGACATTCATTCTAAGAATTTCAAAATAATTTTGAATCTCGGTCCTTTGTTAAGTAGAATGGTAAAAAATAGGTAATGAAAAATATTTGTCACAGGATCAATGTATCGTTGAAAATAAAGATGCTCCTCCCATACAAACTACGAGGATTAACCTAAAACGAAAATACTTGCATCCTACCGGATATTCTGGGTAGAAAGAAGAACAATACTCCAGTAAGGCCTGTTGAGTTTGCCTGTGAGCTTCTTGTGTCAGCTTCAGGTTTGTTATGTTTGGTATTTCTGGAAGAATATGAAAATAAATCAACTTCTGTAGTTAAGTATTGGTTTGAAACAATTTATTGAACAACATTTGTCAAAACTGTCCTTATATCTGAACCATATATTCAACCATAATTCGTTATCTAAAAGTATTGGTTTTGGTTTTAATGTAACAGTATTGTAAAGTGTTAATTTATTTTACTTCCTTGCGATATGTCGCTCTGTACTTTCAATTGTGTAAGAATTATAACAATGACAGTAGGTATATTTGGTTAAGAGTATCCTTGTAGGAGGCAGGCGGTGTATTCAGTAGTTCAAACTTAGAGCTAGCTATCTTTGAACCTTTGAGCTCAGACTTGGCCGTTTAGTACATGTGTCGTATAAGGTCAATTTTCAAATACCACAAGTTATATAAGTTCATTCACAAAAATACTTTTAAATTACTGGTAATGACAGTAACAATCAAATATATGGTTCTGCTTTGTGTATCCACTTAATTTAACACCTAAAAGATATTTTTGTTCTTACATTATAAAGAAATAAAAAAGGGGAACATTTCACACGATCTTGAGAGTTATTATTAAATGCAGTTCTATTATATGGACGTATGCACGCTTCACCTGTTCTTTTGTGAGAATACATACAACGTGTTACCGTTCCTGGAAAAAAACAATACCTCTGCTTTGTCTTCAGATTTAATAACAATTTGTGGGTTTGTTCTTTTGGTGATCGACTCAGTTAAGGTCGATGTTTTATGCCCACATTACCTGCGGATAACGGACGAATATTTTCACGAATATAGATTGTTAGAGCTGTTCAACTGGCTGCTGTATCCGGGCTCATAGGGTGTAGCTTGTGAATATGCTATCAGATAATTGGTTTGTATATTACACAATCTGGATATAGTTATGGATGATCGGTTACGTCACATTGTGACTGCTATCTGCACAGTATTGTCATCAGAAATCGATAGTCCGTCACCATTGATCAACCAGCTCGTGTCTAGAGAACTAGAGGTGGATGGTATGATTAGTGCAACCCAATGGTATATAGGAATTCGAGGTAAGATGAATGATGTTAGGCGAATGTATGCTCCCATATCCCAACTACTGATCAACCAGCTCGTGTCTATAGAACTAGAGGTTAATGATATGAGCAGTGTAACACAATGGTGTGATGGTAACTATGCTGTACGGGTTATCACAACCAATATTTGACAGTGAAACTGATTCATTAAAACTGTGTTCAGTGAGTATATGGTGATCTTAAAATGTAATATTACTTCAGTTCTGTTGGTAAACGTGTCGAAAAACAATTTAACAATCTACTTAAATCTTCGTTTGTTTGAAGTTAAGCACATAGCTACACAATGGCTATCTGTGCTCTGCCCACCACGGGTATCGAAACCCGCTTTCTAGCGTTGTAAATCCGCAGATATACCGCTGTGCCACTGGAGGGCTACTTAAATGTCAACTAATCTTCACAAAATACTACATTATATATATATATATACACACACACGTTTAAAATGTATTTTATGTAAAATGTTGTTGTTCTCACTAAAATGTAAAAAAATCATATATATATATTTAAAACTCCTTTTTTGGGGGTTAGATATTTATAAGTTCCCAAGAAGCAGTTAAAACTTCAAATAATTAAGTCTTGCATAATACTGGTATAACATTTAACGCAAGGCCTTGGCCTCATTTTTAACATTTAAACATATACAGATAGTCATTTCAATGAATCGTTTGAAAGTTACTTTTGACCATTTTATTTACGCAACGCAGGAATATATGGTAATTCTTCGTTCTGTGTTGGTAGGACGATGAGCAGCACCGTTATCGTTTCAGATCTATTGTTATTTGACAATATTCAAGTGATAAGATTTAAAACTTAAGCCATATTACCAAATTCTAATTTTCACTTACCTGGATTAAGTAGAATCAAAACTTTGAGACAGATATAATCCGCGCGATCAAATTTTAGATCTTGGAATTTAGCACTTAAACAATAAAATTGATCATCCAAAGATCGTAGGCCTAACAAAGCCATTTCAAGAAGATCGAATTTTTGCCCATTTGGTAATATTGTCTCTTCTTGAATACAGTTATGGATGTGGTGGTAAAGGTGGTCCAACAGAAGAAGCTCACTCCAAGAGTTTTGTAGAAGTTTCATTTGATCATCTACCTGGCGATAGAAAGACATATTTGTAATTTACAAAATACTAATTCTGTATTCATATATAAAATTCTTTCCCTAAGCTGAAGTGATTGGCATATATTATAATAAACGAACTTAATTTAATTAATTCTACTTTTTGTACGTGTAGAACCTGTTTTCGATGTACAAGGACAGCTAAGGCGGAAGAGTAGCACTTATGGTATGAAACCGGTTACATCAGAAGGTTATTAAAGTTAATGTATAGTAAATGATAATAATTTATTCAATTGATTATTGAATTATCTGCTTGTTTAAATTATGTAATTTAGAAGTATATATGTTTGCTGCTTTACCTACTTATCTTGAAAAGTACTATCATTATGCAATTTGAAATAGAGTTGAAGCTTGTCTATTTTGTTTTCAAATTGTGAAATTAACACTGAAACAAATGCTTTCAATGGGCCTAATACGTTTATATGGTGTGGATCTTATATGAAAGAATAAAAAAAAATGGATCAGTTATGGACTTACTTGTTGTGAACGAGTAAACTATTAAATAGATGATTTTCAACTCTCCTATGTTCAGCATCACTCATGATACCAAGCAAATTCATAGGACAAAAAATTAGATAAATCATAATTATCACGTGTATTAAAGGGCTTTGATCCTGGACCATTATCTGACAGTAGTAGTTTTATGAAAACAGAACATTTCTCAAAAAAGTATGCTCAATTCAATACCATTGTATTTTGGACACTTCTTATTTTTCTCAAGTATCATCGGTCAGGTATCAGGTGCTTTGACAAGTAAGTAGCCAACATCAGAATCAGTGCAATGTGTGTGTTTTATTTAGTTTTTAAAGCACGTGGGTTGATGCGATGTGGTTTTACGTTTATGACATAAATGCCATGCAAATGAATAATCTTTATTGCAGAAATATGCTTTGCCATAGTTTATTTCTACTACAAAAAACTGATCATTGTCTCTAAAACAGCTTTCATGGCCTGTATCTTGTGATTACAGATTATTCTTGAGACTTTCATGAAAAAAAAAAGCATTTACACGAGGACACTAAAATGTTTATTTATAAAGTGGGAAGTATAAAATATCGCGAACCTTATTATTACTTTATTTATCTGGATGAGAATGGAAACATACCTCTGTAGCCACAAAGAATATC